AACTATTATCAGAGTTGTCAGATGGTTAATTATCTTTGTTAATTCAAACTGTTATGTTTTGGATATAACTTATTTCTTATATATGCTATATTAAAAACATATATGCATTGAATTTAGCGAGTTAGTAGTAGACAACAAAATTATTCTACAAGTCCAAACTTTGACAAGATGTCCATTACTCTTACATGTAATGATAATCAATTTGAAATGACTCAAAATTCATATGTATTGGGTTCTTCTTCGATGTTTTTCTCAAGTTAGTTAATTTCTATTTATCATATTATTTATTAAATATTAGAACCCCCAAATAATTATAACTTTTAATATGCATTTTTTTTGTCATGCATAGGTCAACTTTTAAATAAATCTATTCCAAATTCAAGTCAGAATAAATCATCTTCAACTTCATAAGTGCTAACATTTCTAACAAATTTTTTTAATATAATTTTTTCATTTAAAAATTTTACAAATTGAAGATCATTTATAACATTTCTTTTTTTATTAATACTAAAATATTATTTATTATTAATATAAAATTTTCAAAAACCCCGTGCGTTGCACGGGTCATGGTACTAGTTGTTATATATTTAAAGGTAATTTTTTTTTTTTAATTGTATACTTTTAACTTGTGAGCAATCAGTGCTGGACTAGTATATAGTAATAGGAGACATGTACGTAGCATGACAAAACATTAATTTGACTTGACAATATATTTGTCGTGGTGAGTCACTCCTAATTTATGGACTAGTTCAAATTCACAGATTCTTTACTACTTTTGTCACACTTTTTTTATGGATAAAAACCACTACTTTAGACGATAAATACAAAAAATATTATAGCTACTAGTTGTAGGTATTAACCATTTTTATTATTACTAAATTATTAGACTATAATCTTTAAAAAAACAAAGCTTCTCGAACTTAATTCCTTCAATTTAGAACACGACTTTAAGTTACGCCTAAGTCATGTTTATAAATATGATTTCAGTCTACTTTTAATAAAATTTAAATCATATACTTATAAACACGATTTCTACATCAATTTGATGAGAAATATAAATATAACTTTAACGTCAAAGTTTAAAAGTTAATAGCATGTTATTTAGAAGTACAATTTATTCTTTTCGAAGTTATCTTTTCAAAAACAGCTAATTTATTTATGTAATTTAAAAAAAAAAACTAGATTCATAATTTTAAAAAAAGAAATTGTACCATTTTGATGTTTTAACCTGTGCAAATTATGTTAAGAAATTGGAATAATTAATGTCTGCTTTTTATTTCTCCTTTCGTTTATTAATTATTTTTTTTTGTCACGCTTTTTTTATTAAAAGCCTTACTTTAGACTCTAGATATAGATTTAGTTTAGATTTTGTAAAAAATAACGAGAGAGAGAGAGAGAGAGAGAAAGATTTCCTTTAGATATAGGCTCAAAAAAAAAAAAAAAGACTATAGCTATAAAATTTTTCGTATTAACTTTATAATCTAAAAAAAAATGCTTCTGTGTACTGAAATTCTCCTTCATTTTAGACCATATCAAATGACATCAACCATATCTATCTTACTATTTGAAATTACTATTTACTACATCAACAAAATAATACCCTTTCTCTCATATTAGTTGGAGAATTAAACCAATTCTATTTTCCAAATTTATTTCTCTTATGTTTAAATCTTAAGGTCAATGTAATAAACATTGACTCTAGATATAGGTTTTACTTATCACGTAATCTTTTTAGTTAGGTACTTCCTTATTTTAGAAAATTATTTTTATTATTTTTTTAATGGAATTTATGTATATACACAAATATTTCAAGTAATTTTTCTTTGAACAAAAAAAACATTCACTTTACTCTGTTTTATTCAAAATTTAATGTGAATTTGATTTGTATCACTAACCTTATATTATAGAACTTTAATATCACTTATTTATCTACGACACTCATTGTTTTATTTTGTTATCGGGTCTTTCTCTTACACTTGTCTAATAATTTACTAGGAAAATTTTAGAATTTTATTATTTCATATATATTTTTTATGTTTAGATGCTTAGTCCCTTCAAAAAATAATTTCTTAAACTTATTTATTGATTATATAACTCAATGATTTAATATAGTCTAAATAGGTTAAATTTTCTTCATCTAACCCATCCTAACCAAAAATATTAAATAGTATATATATATATATATATATATATATAATTCAATTATTTACCAAATAAATACATGTTTCTTAAAGTATTTAATTATTTAATTATTCAAATATGAAATAATATGTTAGAAATTTTAGAAAATCATTTAAAAAAATATAACAATTTTTTTTTCTAAATTACAATTTTTAACAAGAAAAACATTGTTTTTCAAAATCTTTAATCACTTCACCAAATCCAATCAAGAGTAGATTACATTAATATTGTTTTTATTTGATTGGATAATGAATTTATCTTCAACGATGTAATTCAACCCCACACTCATATAAATGTTCTTAGAATTTGTTGCAGTACAAGTCTCATATATATTTGTTAATTCAATTTTTTTTTAGTATTTGCTATGCAGTATAGAGATGTATGAAAGTATCTCTTCAAGAAGGAAAATTAAATGTTATATAGTGTTTTTTTTAATTACATAAATTTCTACTAGTAGTTTTTTTTTATGGATGTTTATATATATATATATATATATATATATATATATATATATATATATATATTTATGAGTTCATATAATTTAGAATTAAATTAAAAATAAATTATATATATACTCCTCTCATAGTTTTTTAAAATATTGTTTAAAAATAATATTAAGACAGCCAAATTTTTTAAAATAAATAATATTTTATTTATAAAAATTAATCTTAACGATATTATAAAAACATATATTTTAAGAATAATATTAAGACAAACAAAAATTTTAAAATAAATAATATGTTATTCATAAAAATTAATCCTAACTATATTATAGAAACATAAATTCAGAAAAATAAAACAAAAATTCTAATAATTTAACTTGGTAATTGCTTTGGAATATATAAACTAAATATCAGAGGAAATGAGACACTTAGACTAAGAAAAACTAAGAAAAAAAGTTAAAAGTGATTGCATCATATTCTCACAAGAAAACAGTCAAAACAACAATTAAATATTAGAGGAGGACCACCAACGAGAGCTAAAATCCAATATGAACCATCACAGAGTATCCAAACAAAAAAAATCACCTATTTAATAAGATACATAGGAATTTGTTCAATACAACAAAACAAAACTATCAATTTTTATTATCTATCCTCTTTCATGTTTTGTTTCCTATCAAACTTGTCCAATTTTAAATAAAAATTTCTACTTATCATTACTTGTTACACAAGAGCCTTCTTTTTGTAACAAATATTACACTGAGCTTTCTTTTGTTTTAGTGGATCATGGATTTCAAAAGAGATGAAAATTGGTGCATAAGTTGAAATACCATATTAGTGAGCAACTAAGATCATCATCGTTCTAATTCTTATTAGAAATGTCAGGATAAAAAATCAAAATGGTTAAATAGTACCTCATCAATTTTGAGGATTAAAAACAAATGTCTTTCTTACATATTTTCTAATAGGACAATATCAAAAGGAAAAAAAAGTATTAATGTAAATAAAAAAAATATTACTACAACTTTTTTTAAAGAAAGTATTACTAAAACTTTTCTTAAGACAATGACAAGTTTGCTACTAAAAATTTCTTTTCATCATTCAAAACTTCAATCCAAGGAAAACCTAATTGTTATAACATCCCACAAAAGATTAGTTAAAATATTACTTTATCTCAATTATATACGATAACACTTCAATCATTCACTTAGCTTGTAATCAACTTTTTCATAACAAAAGAAAAAATATCTATAGAAAAATTGATTATTTTATAATAACAGACAAAACTAATACTACTTTAGTTCATCTATTATCTATATAAACTCAATTTGCCTATGTATTTCCCAAAATTCTTGTATTCAATATCTTTGAAGATTTCATCAATAAGTTAGAGACTTGTTCCTACTAATCTAAGAGACTTTCATATATATATATATATATATATATATATATATATATATATATATATATATATATATATATAATTTTGTATTGATTTTTGTTCAATTTTTATATTGCACTCATTTTTAATTTTTAATTTTTTTTAAGATTGTAATATCTTTTTTTACAGATTTGTGCAAATTTATGAAGATTTATTTTTCTTTTCTAAAGAGAATTGACAAATATTTAAAACAAATGCTATTTGTAAAATAATTTATTGAATAAATTTTATAATTAAGAAAAAGAAGAGAAAAGATAATAGAATGTAATAAATGTTATAATAAAAGTCAATATTTTAATATATTGATACTGTTAATATATAGAATGCAGAGATATTTAATTTGTGCAATTAATGTGAAAGAACAAGAAGCATTTTAAACCATAATAATTGAGCAAAAACTAATAATTTAACTAATTAAGATTTGTTTCACCAACTTCTTTACACCAATCAAAGAAGCTGGAGAAAACACAGAGCAGAGCAGAGGATCCAAAGTTACAAAAGAACCAAACCCATTAATTGTTGTTGCTAGTTTCTCTTCCAATTAGAGACAACTGCATTGCATGTCCCCCACATTGGCTAAGTCACTTCTAATGCTAGTAGATGGTCCATCATCTTAATATGTCATATCAATAATGGACTGAGTAATCTCAGGGTATGGCCATATGTAGAACAATTGGCTTCACTTAACAAGACAAACAAGTTACTTTCATAAAATTTTCTTAGACCAAGACATATTATAAGCTGTTACATCATTCTGGGGATTGACAATTTTGTTATAATTTGTCTCCAGCAATGTTATTGACCCTTCATGAGCAATGTTTGAAAATTTCAAACCAAATTTCAATTCCTTTTCATCAAATAGTTTGCTTTGGCCTTGAGTACACCACAAGAAGGTCACTGCATTGCACTGGACTGGACCAGTCTCACACACATTCTCAAGTGAAAAAAGTTTCAGAATATGTGGCATTTGTGGTTGGATTGGAACCGCCACCACATTCAGAATTAATGTTGTGCAATTCAAAATTGGGACCAAAGTCATTAACACGGGTTGTTGTATCATCTGCAGTGTGAAAGCCTACACTTCTGAAGAGATTTCTCTTCTGCCTAACACCGACAAACACGACCCTATACACGAATTCATCTTTTTCTGGGGATTATATCAGTTACTGCAAAATCATCTTTGTCTCATTCAAGTTTCAATCTTCAACTGTGTTTTGAAGCAAGAGTTTATATAGTTCAAAAGTTGGTCTATGCTTCTCTCAAAAAACGACACAAAAGAACATACAAATCGCGTATTATATTGAGTATTGACAAATTTACAGTCTAAATATATGAAATAATTAATGTTAACAACTCAAATGTTAAAATTTTTTGGTTATTTGATGATGGTTACGTGTAGTCATTTTCAAATAATGAAAATATTTGTAAATATGTAACTTAAAAAAGCTTTTTTTAATATTTTAAATAACATGTCAAGTTTTTTTTTTTTTTTAATTTATTAACATATACCTGCTTTATTATATGGCTGCTTATGTTTATCTAAAAAATTAAAGTCAATTTTTTTATTTTTTATAAAAATTTTGCTTATTTCATAAACTCTTATTTTAAACATAACCAAATTTATCAGTTGTTTGTTAAAATAAATAGATTTTGTTAAATAAAAACTTTAAATTGTGTGATTTTTGTTGTAAATTAACTTATCATTAGAGTATTTATATACATTTAATACAAAAAGTTCACATTTATTTTTGATAACATTTCTTTGAAAACTTATTTATTCATTACATTAAATAATAATGACAATATTTGATCAAAGTAGTTAAAAAAAACTTAAAATATTTGAAAAATAAGATAGATTGTAGTTTGAAATCATTAATATCGTAGTACACTATAATAGTTTGATTAATTTGTTTATTATAATTATTAATAAATATAAAATGATATATATATATTAATAAATATAAAAGTTAAAAAATATATATTAAATAAGAAGAACATGTTATTTTTGCAATATTAAAGTTTTATTTTAAGAAAGTTAGATGCTCATCTCTTTATAAAAACATTTTGTAAAAAATATTTTCAGAAAATAATATCTTTTGAAAATTTTATATTTTTTTAATAATAAATCAAAGATATGATCATTTTCAATTTCAAACAACCATAATATACATTAAAAACTCTTAGAAAAAAACTGTTTATCAAATATCATTGATACAGGTTCTTAAAAAAAAGTTGTCCGATTGTAAATAAAGTTAAAACGAACTAAAACATAGAAAATGATAACAAGTTGTTTTTACAATAATAATTTTTTATTAAAAAAAATAATTTTCACTTCTTTGTAGAAACAATTTTTTGGAAAATATAAATAAAATAAAAATTCAGGAACAATATTTTTTAAAGTAATAAGTCAAACATGAAATAAAAATATTCTCAAGTTAAAACTAGTGAGAGTTCTATTTATAATTTTTTTATATTAAACGCCAGTAGAAAAAAGAAAATAAAATAAGAGAAAAAATAATTGATACTTAATAAATATTTTAATTATTATTTATGGATAAAAACCCATTTATAATATTTGATAAGAATAAATGAGGACAAATTTAATCAAAATGTCTTATAAGAACATTAATTTCTTGCCAATTATATCTTATATTAAGTTTAGAGGAAGTATAATATTTATAAATAATCGAAAAAGTTAACATAATTTTATTAAAAATGTCAATCTATGTTTTATATATAATTAAATATAACTAGTTAGAAATAAAAGAAAATTAACTTTCAGTCTAATTTATTTCAACAAATTAAAATAAATGCAATGAAGAACAACAGAAACATAATTAATTGGGGTAGCTGAAATTCATGCATATCATTAAAAAAAAAAAAAAAGTACAGATGAGATGGGGCACCACCACAGATTCTGAACAGAAAGAAGGGTGAAAAGCATACATTAATAACTTAGCCGTTATCCCTCATACCATCCTCATACACATTCAAACCAGTGAAGTGACCCAGAAACCGTTATCATCGAGGCCAAGTGAAGTGAGAATTTCACAATGCAATAAAATGGTGATCCAAGATAAACTACACACACAAATACATAGTAACATAGTATTAATCACTTTGTCTTCTTCACCTTACAAAGTGCTTTCATCTGACAGTGCACTTGCAACAACTGCATAGGCCCATGACTTGAGATGTTCTTTCATTGCCTCAGCATCATCAAACGGAGGCATCTTAGTTTGCTGCTGCTGAATATCAAGCACCGCTTGATGTTTGCATGATTCTTCCTCAAGTTTATCAAACCACCAATCAACCCTTCCATCAACCACATTGCTTCCTAACTTGTTCCACTTCCTTCTCTCTCTCCTCTCTCTCTTCTTTCTTTCCCTACTTGGTGCTGACGAAAGCCCACCAAATATGTGACACTCAGGGGTCAAAGTCTCCCCATTTCGAGGCTCATCTTGGAGATTCACACGGAATGGGGTAAAGGGTTTCTGCAAATCTCTCTCGGGAGATTCTTGGGCGTGGATTGAAGTTGCAAATTGATCAATCAAAGGGACTACAGGGTCATCACTGCAGGCGAAGACGTTAGTGTAGAACCAGAGAGAGTCGAGACTTTGTGCAACCCGTGAACCATCCATGACTACTGTATGAGCAGAAATGTGAACAGGTCCAAGACCATGCAACATGTGAACTAGTTTATTTATACAGTAAACGAGGAAGCTTGTGTAATGATAAATGCGGGAGTTTTATATTCTTTTGCAGAGTTCATACTTGGAAGTACACTCTTTCAGCATGCCAAAAGAACGAGGAGTGCAACATTCTCGTTATGTGTTTTTGAAGAGGACCAAAAAGCCCTTGGGTCTGAGCTGTGTTTGGGGTGTTACAGTGGCCTGCATTTTCCCTAACAAAACAGATCATTATCAGCCTAATCCAAAATGTCTACTGTTTCTGTTGTGTTTTTCAAGCACATAACACAAGTTTAACGTTGTATATAAAGACAAAAAAGGGTATGCACAGTGTAAAAGATTCTTCAATACACTCTCATCCTGTCATTTTATAATAAAGATGATTCTTTTATTAAAACTACTTAAAATTCTTTTCTACCATAATTTGTGATTCACTAATAATAAAATAATTCTATGTTGTTTTTATCATGTATATTCATAACTCGTTTCTCTTTTCTTGTTGTATAGTAATATATTGACGTCCATGAGTTATTTTACTATATATTCACAATACAGAAAAGTTTACACATAGATTGTTATTAATGTGATTTGTCCTCAAGCCTCAACATTAAAAAGATAAAAAAAGGAAAAAAAAAAAAAGATGAGAAGCTACAAAATACTATTCAAGAATTAAATCAGGAAGTTTATAAAAACAAATTATTTATTAGTTTGAAATCCAATTTAGAGTATCAAATTTAGTGAGTGAAATCTTCATCTCTCTCTATGGGCGCGTGTTTTGAGATTTTTATCCCACTGATAATAATTTACTATCGGAGCTTGAGAGTTTAAAGGTAATGTGGTGAGTAAAAAATATTTAATTATATTTTTATTGCTTAAAATTTTAAATAAATATTTTTAAGTCCTTCAAATTTTAAAGAAATATTTTTAAGTCCTTCAAATTTTAAAAAACGTAAACCATTTTAATTGTTCAAATTTAATAAAATATAAATTTGTCTCAAAATATTAAATTTAAATAATTAAAAAATAGTTTTGGAAAATTTATTTTAATCTTTCAAAATTTACTGATCAATGACTAAAATAATAGTTTTTCAATTTTAAAATATTAAATTATTTTAAAGAAAAATAAATTTAAAAATATAATATAATTGATTATGTTATGCAATATGATGGATTAATAAATAATAATAATATAAGTTTTAAAAAATAAATATAAAATACTTTTATTTTATTTCTCAGTTTTTTTTTACTTATTCTTTTTAAATATAAACTTCTCCTATTTTCTTCCATTTTCATATCTATTTCTTTTTTTTCTCTCCCATTTCTTCTGTATCAAACACTGGCTAAAGAGACCCCATGGAAATACGAATATGCCCCCTTGAAAATACTTCACTTTCAGTGGCATCATTCTATCTCTTTTTCTTTCCTTCGCACTCTCCATTGAAACCGCCACTTCGTCCATCTTTCCGTCATCTTCTCAACCCTCTGTAAGTCCCCTCTCTCTCTCTCTCTCTCTCTCGCTTTTTATCTTATATTTTATGTAGGGTTCAATCTTTATTTACTTCCACTGATGGTTTGTTTATTCTATTTAAATGCTGGGACTCACCGGGGCTATGTGTTTCTCTTTACCCTGTTACACATTTCCTGTATTCATTCATTCTGAATTGTTTTCACCTTTCTTTCAGAATTCACTGCCTGTTGTCAATGTCAACTGTTTCACTCAAGCTCACGCTGTCTGAGCATACTGCATAGTTTCAGAGACATAGCTGCTGCTTTAGTCATTTTTTTCATATTTTCCATAGAAAAAAAAAGAATATAACCACTGGTTTTGTACAAAAACTAGAATTCCTAATCAAATTTGTATGCTTCAGGTCTACCCATCATCATTGAACCCACCTGAAAAATGTCTCTTGTAATCCCCTCATCCTCTGCAGCCCCTTTGCACTTTTCTAAATTGGAGATTAACAATTTGAGTTCCCACCAAAAAATTGCCGCTAATTCCTTCATCCCTTTTCATCATAAAGTGGGTTTCTGTTGTAAAACAAGGCAGATTGGGGTCCACTTGATAAATGAACCAAATGTTATTCATAGGTATACAGTTAGGTCTGTGGGGCATGATTTTGAGTCGATCAATATGTCCTTGGATTTTGATGACGATGAAGAAGTTGAAGATGTTGGGTCACCTTGGGAAGGTGCAGTTATATACAAGAGAAATGCGTCAATTTTACATTTGGAATACTGCACTACCTTGGAGAGATTAGGTCTAGCAAAGCTTTCAACTGATGTCTCAAAAACTAGAGCTGCTGCTATGGGATTGCGTGTTACCAAAGCTGTGAAAGACTTTCCAAATGGCACTCCCGTTCAGATATCTATAGACGTGACCAGGAAGAAGAAAAAATTGAGGCTTGATGGGATCATAAAAACTGTAATCACTCTTCTTTGCAATAGGTATTTCGTTCAATTCATGAATTGTCATTGCTTGCTTTTTCAAGTGTTTTTTCTAATTTTTTTTTATCATTTCTTAGTTCTGTATTTTTCTTCTGGATTTTACTCTACTTAATCTCTATGTTGACAAGGATTAATACTTCAGGCCTCAAAATTTAAACACTAAAAGTATGATGGAAAATGTTTTTGCATTACAGTAATTATTGTCTAGAAGCTTCATTTATGCATTATTTTCAAAATTGTTTTGCATGTCACTCCATCTAATATACCATATAAATGATAATAAGGCAGGGGTAGATAACCCCTTGACACCCGATACTAGTCTTTGGACAAGATGTTGGACTCCTCGCCCTTCCCTTATCTTTACATTTGTTAAGCCCAAATCTATATAGGAAGTTTGTTTAACAGGAGTAGTTTAGTTGTCTTTTGTCTCAAGATGACGAATAGCTCACGAATTTTTTAATGATGAAAAAATAATCAGTCATCAATTCTTGCTGGAAGAACCTGCTTAGTTATAAACAGAATTCAGAACCCAAACCCTGCCTACTAGCTGGAAGCACATGTTTCAGAATATTCTCAACTTAACTGATCTCTACTAGTTGTGCTTGATCTAAAACATGATGATAACAGCATAAACTTAATGTCAGCAGCAGTGACATTGAATGGTAGTTGTTCCTCTGTAAAAAGAAAACATGCATAGACTAAACTGTTTCTTTGTCTCCATAATTAGATCTTTTCATAAAGTAAGGAATAACTTCCTATTACAATGATGGCATGAGGATCTTTCATTTTTTATTCAGTTTAAATTTTAGATTCTAAGATTTAAAAGTGTGAAAATTGCTTATAAATTTGTTATTATTCTCTCTCTGTTTGCTCTTGTACTGTGCTATTTATCATCTACGATCCAATTACCATGAAGGCTGTACTGCTGAAGGCATGAGGGTTTACATGATATTAGGAAATATTTTTTTCTACCAATTTAGATTTCAGTAACAACATTCTGATGGGAACTGGATCAGAAATGGTAGGGAGGAAGACAAAATAAATTCCTTTGTTGATTGAGGATCTTTATAAAGAATACCCTTGATATTTAAGAGACAGGACTCTTCCTAGTTTCAAATGTATTTCACCCTTGATATTTTTATCAACTCATTTTTCTATTTGTAGGCAGCTTCTAGTTTGCTGGTATAAACCTACCCTTGATAGGCCTATTCAGTTGCAGGTCCATTCCCCTTCTTTCTTAGATAACCCCTTTGTATTTCTTTGACTAATTAACCCTACTAACTAATCACTAACAGACCTAACTAGCTGACCTATCAATAGCCCCCCCCCCCCTGAACATTCACCTTGTCCTCAAGGTTAATAATATATAGTCGCAGAAAATAAAATTCTATTTGACTGGGGTCCTATTACAGCATAAAACATGATCCAATTCGCAATTCACCAAAATAATGAAATTGCTCTTAATACCTATCCTTTTCTCTGAATTACATTGATCTCTTTTGAACTAATGTAACTACATAATTAAGGAAGGCAAGTATGCTGTTTTAACAGGAAGGATCTATTGTGTTGTTATTTATGTTAAGGATTTTATAGGGTAAAAGAAGGGAGATGTAACAATTGAAATTATGTTAAACATAAGGGGGTGTGAGTCTAATTTGCCCCTATTTTATTGAGGTGGAGTGAAGTGCAGAGACCTTACTGAGACAAATGCAGAAGATTCAATGAACTATATGGATTTAAATTACTTCGATATAAAAATTGAGGTTACAGAATTTGCTGACATGGATATTAGTCATGAACTTACTCTTCACACTGTTCAAAATTGGTCATGCTCATTTATGCATGATTTTAAATTGGATGGTCATACGTTAAACATCCTCTGCAAACTCTTTAGGTATAACTAGCAAATATGGAAGCTTTAAATCCTGAAATTGATTGGTCTCTTACTTCCATATCACTATCTCCTTCCCAGGCTCAAACCCAATGCTTTCACTGAAAATTACACTCCACCGAAATATAACCGAATTAAACTTGAGATTGAACTTGGCTGAGAACTTTTTGTTCTACCTTCTATTCTCTTTATTGAACTCTACCATTATCTAGAATGAAGTTCTGGTACATCTGCCTCCAGAATGTAATGTAACTAGATTTATATTCTTAGCCCAAAACCTTCTATATTTCCAATTCAATACAAATGCTTTATTTCCAATGTTATCACCCCTCCTTGCTTCCCAAAAGTTGTAAAAGTATAAATTTTATTGATATTCTTTGGACATTTGGTTGACCTCTGTTACCTAATCATGAACTGATCTGCTATGATTTGTTTGTTTTTTGAACCGAAATAGCTTGTTACGTAATTGTATTGCATTATTCATCTCAATTTATTAAATCTCACACTAATGCTCCATCAAGTGCAACATGGAAGATTCTTGGGTAGCTGAAGTAACATGATATATCTACTTAGTTTACAATAGCTGCTAACACGTTAATTCTTTTAGCTGTCTGGATGCTAAGCATCGCAAGTACCATTTTATGTGGCGTTCACCAGACTTAGTTATCGAATATCTTTCTGGATAATTATTTTAATGTTTCATCATCATTGTGGTATCGAACAGTGTAAATATAGCACTTTCATTTATAGACTTATTGAAGAAACCAGAAAGTTGGCCAGAAAAAAAAAAAATTTGTCATGTCTATGTGACAATTAAAAAAAATGATACAGGGTATGCTCCTGTCACAGCAGTTTGAAATTCTTATTTTGATGTGATTTTTTGAAGGTGTTGCATGCCATCTGCTGAGAGCATATTCTCTGAGTTCTCTCTTCTACTCACTGACGAACCCATTGATGAACCGGAGACTATTGATATGGGTGTTATTTTTGGGGAAGACAAACTTACAACCGCTGGAAACAGTGGTGAGGACGACAATGATGATGACGGACTTATTGATTTGGAGGATCAACTATATTTTCCTCCAGAAAAGAAGCAAATTGACATTTCAAAGAACATAAGGGACAGAGTGCATCTTGAGATTACCATGAATTCAGTATGTGATCCTGGGTGCAAAGGCATGTGCTTGAAATGTGGTCAAGACCTTAACACCGGCAATTGCATTTGTAGCAAGGAGGAAGTAAAAGAAAAAAGCTATGGCCCGCTTGGAAATTTAAAAGAGAAGATGCAGTTGTAACATTTATGATGTTCTGACATTCTTAAGAGCCTACTAAGGGCTCCTGGATCCATGATCATACAGGGCATGGATGATGGATGTTATAGAATATAGATCCATGGTGCATTGTTGCAGTTGCAGCTACGCCTCAAAGCCTGCCTTTGGTATGCTCCTTTCCATTTGTATTAGCATTCTCTAAATATCAATTTCTTGGTTTTTACTAATCTAGTCCTGATCTGCAAAATTAAAAGATGACTGAGATTATTTAAATATTAATTTTGTCACATTGTTCTAATGTCAACTTTTTTGTACTTTTAATTTCAAAGCATATTTGATATTGTTCTTATAAAAAGATTTAATATAAAAACAGGTTTTTAATATAATTGCAAAACATGGAAATCTTAAAGAAATTGAACTTCAATAGGTATCTAAAAGGTTAGTACACACGTTTCTTGAAAAGAAATAACCAAATTATGCTCATGTTATGTCCCTTGTACGAGGAGAGATTTGTATGCTACTTTCCTTTTGTAGATGGGAACATGAAAATATGGAATCTGCAAAATGAAGGGAATGGCAAGTTAATCAATAGTATCGATAGGACATGTTAAAGTAGCCAAAGTGAGTTTCAATACACATTAAATCATCATTAGGTAGAGTCAATTCGGACAAAATTTTTCCTTAACATTTTTAAGAAAAAAAAACATTATCCGTGAGAAATTCTTATAAATACATTCATTTAAGTTATGAAAAAGTATTATTTCTTTAATTTGTTTATATCCTGGTCTATATGGTCCTTAATCAATAGTAAAATGTTGTGTTATTGTTGTAAAAGTTTTTACAGATTTTTAATGCGATGACCTAATAAAATATATATATATATATATATATATATATATATATATATATATAGAGAGAGAGAGAGAGAGAGAGAGAGAGAGAGAGAGAGAAAGAAAGAAGTAGATATAAAAATTGATTTATTTTTAACACGACGTTATTATGAAATAACTATATTTTTCTTCATTAATTTTATATATAATTTATTATCAAATGACTTTATAAACGTTTTTTATATAAATTTGAAAATAAATTTAATGGTTGTTGGTTAATTTTGTCTTAAAAGACAATTTTGTGAATAATATAATTTATTCGTAGAGTATAGTTAATAAATATTTTAAAATAATATGGTTAACGAAGACAACATTTTTATAATAAATTAATGAAGGACATGTAGAACTAATTTGTAATTTTCGATCTTTAAAAAGTTGATAACTTGTATGAAAATATGTTTGTTATTATATATATTTCATTTCTAAAAATAATTGAAAACTCAGTAGTTGATGAACCATGTCATGTCATAAGTACAACAGAATTGAATTCCTCTCTTCATAATTAAAACCTGAAAAACTGTTTACTCTTAATTTGACACGTATAGTTCAAGAACGACCAATTTTCATTATAAAAAGATAAACTATACACGAAAGCTTTCATTTAAGGAGGAATTGGCAGAAAGCATAAAATAATTGTTCTATTTTAAATATCATAATTGTAGAATTTTAGTCTGGTTTCGGATGTTGTATTTGTAAAAAAAAGAGAAAAGAAAAAAAAAAAGACAAAGGTTGTTCATGTGTTAGACCGTTAGATACATGTCAGTCTTCTCTGTGATTATTAAAAGATGAAAAGAACAGGAGATAAACAAATAACATGACATGTTACACTATTTTTAGGACGAGTTATTATTATAAAGAAGAAAATAGAAAAAAATGCACCCAAAACATGATAATACTTGTAAACTCTGCATTCTTCATCCATCACTCATCACCCGCACACTTTCCATTTCCATCTCTTGTTAGGGTCGTACCTCCACAAAATATGTATGTCATGCCAATGCCCACCAGACAAATCGAAATCTCACATGCAAATATTAATTACATTCCATTTTATATTATTAAATATATCTTCTTTCCCAGATAGTTTATTTATAAAAGTAAATATCAATGTGTTTTGTAAAATATACAAAAGTTAAGGATTGTTTGACCACAGCCTAGACTGATTCTGATGTAGAGAGCCTTTGCCTACTTGATGGAAAAATTCATCCAATTCATTCCTGAAAAAGAACCTAGATTGACAAACTAATACTATATACAAGAATTGTTTTGGATATTCTTTAGATTCGGTGTTTGGTGATATATTTGGGTGGTTGAGGGAATTGATGATGATCAATGCAGCACAAAAACTGTGATATATATTCACAGAATTTGACAGACCAATGCAATGGAAGAGATAATAAGTAAAATGTTTGTGATGAGTGCTGCTTCTCTCTTTAATTCCCCGTTATGGTTCAGCCAATTAGCACGTACATGAACTCAATTCATCATTTTAATTCTTTAAAACTCTATTTTCTGAGTTTTGTACCTATCAATTGCATTGTCAATACCTTATCCATACAAGCAAGACAAATTCACAACTAACTTAACGTATAAGAAGGAGAAATATTCAGACCTGCCATGAGCACCGCAACAAAATTTATCAAGGACCTACATTGGTACAGATTGTGCAAGTAAATCTGAAATGCTGAATGAATTTCCACTTCTTTTGGTCTAAATTAAATTACAGGTAACAATAAATCTGTGGAATGCCAAATTCCGGAAAAAATAAAAAAGGGAATAAATACATACAAAAATGGAAAAAGAACAAGAAAAATGTATGTATATGGAACAGAAAATAAGAAAAAAACTTGGATTATGAACAAGTGCATCATCTGACAGTGGAAGCAACTGTGTGTGCCCACCATCTGAGACTATCTTTCATGTCAGTTTCGTTGTTCAAAGCAGGTATTTTCCAATTCACCAAGGGGTTCTCTTTTTTTCTCCTACCATATTCCTGAACCTCCCATGCTTCAGAAAGGTAAGGCCTTGGGACATTTAATTCATCACAATCTTCTTCTTCTTTATCTTCCTTATTCCCTAGCCTTTGCAACCCAGGAATAATTGAAGCCAAGCTTGAGTTTTTATCCTCCTCTGAGAAAACAAAACCCAGATCCATGAACCCTTTTAGCTCCTCAAATTCAAGGTCTGACAAACTCTTGCTCTCCCTCCTCTTCCTAGTTCCATTGCCTGAAATTTTGCAGCTTTTTTTCTTCTCAGGACACAACACCTCATGGTGCCTAACCTGTGTTGGGCTCTCAGGTTCTGAGTCAGTGACTTCTTTTCCTGAGAGAATGGTTTGGAGCTTAGGAGGAAGAAGAAGTACAGAGTCTGGAGAAAGAGAATCATGGTTGAATCTTGTGCTTGTCATGGACTGGTCACTCATGGATCTGGTGTGGCTGGTTCGGATCAAGGGTAGCTTTGGTCCTAGTTCTTCTTCTTCTTCTTCCTCAAAATTTAGATTTTTCACATCACTTGTAATTGTTCCATCAGAGCTTAAGTTTTCCTTCAAAATGTTAACCTCAAACCAGCAAGAATCAAAGAGGTTCAAAACAGCCTCGGTTTCCATGGCGGCTGTGGAGGAAAATCAAAAGAGAAAAAAAAAAAAACACTTCGCTAATTGCGTGTTAGGGGAAGTGATTACCTAGACCATGATGCTAGCAAGAATATATATATATACCATATTTGATGACCATGTTGCCCTTCATGTTACCCGCTATTTACAAGAATTATAACCACATATTTACACGTTTTGAATTCGGCATTTATTTTTCAATGCATGTGTGATATAACTTTGTTGGAATATTATTTTTTATTATGCCGAGTGAAAAGGGAAATAATGTTTGGAATTAGATGGTTCTATGAAGAAGTAAAAGGAAGGATGAATGAGGTGGAACAGTGATATTATGGATGCTACTAGATAAAGCTAGATAAAAGGTTAGGGGATTGTTCATAACGTGACATCTAGTTACTACTCATCAACTACTAATCTTTATCTTATTATCTCCACATTCTGACATTTTACTGGTTTTTCTTCACTTGTTTCTTTGAAGATTACACCAAACCGTTTTGATGTAGAATTAGTGGCTCTAACTGCGGGAATTATTGTTATTTGCTTCAAAATTACACAAACTATAATTGCCTCTTTGGAAAAAAATTATATATTTGTTTCAGTTATCAATTTAAATATATAGGAATTGAAACTATGTTTAAAAGAACATACAAGAATTAAAGCACTGTATTTTGTATGATTAGTAGGTTAAGAAGGAGCAGAAAGTGTTTAAGTTCATTCAAACTTGTAAATAATTTTGTGATAAAATAAGCTAAACGTGGTTTTTGCTTTTGGATACATAACATACACGAGATGAATATAAAAAGCTTTAACATAGTGAGAAACAAGGCATCGACCAGTTTATACTGCAAGTTTTAATAAGATCACGTGTGAACAACAATAGCACACTTAATTGTGTGGTTTCAAATAATTTTAAACAAAGGTGTTGACTGTTAGTAACACCCATGTGATAAGGGAATGTGGGAATAATTAATTCCTAAAAAACATTCATACATGGTTGCATTGTTTATGACGATAATAGGTGGCACGTAATATGTAGTATAGGAATACTGATGTCGTGTAATGTACGCACTAGTATAAGATACCATTTCATGTACTATGTATCTCTCTTGTTAACATCAGTTACGTGGGAATCCGAGGATGAATAAAATATTATCTGGTGTCGTTGACTATTAGTTGCCTTGTCACGTGAGCATCTATACAAATAAATTATTCGTTCGGACACGTATTGGTAGTCAAATTCAAAGTATTTGTTATATTCCAAAACTAAGTTCGTATGGTTGGTTTTGGTAAAAATTAGGCAAAGTTGAAACAATCTGAAAACGAATACACTTCACAATAATCTCATTCTCTTTGTAAATAATTCATCTCTATTAGTTAAATGTACTTGGGAGGAAAAGGTCATAATAGTGACCATGTTGAATGGCGATTAATCATTGTTGATAATATAATAATAATTTCTATGTATTATCCGAATTAACTGTTCACAATCATCAATGAAGAAGAGAGAAAATAGCAGTTATAAGATCATTCAACAACTAAAAATGAAATATTGAAGCAAAAATAAAAGTAAAATAAGAAAACAAATAAAAAATACAGTGGGAAGTGATCGATGAAGAAGAGGAAAAAAGAAGATTAGAAAAGGTTGGAGAAATGGAAAATGTCATGGTCATAAATAAAGAAAATAAATTTATCATTGACTTAAACTAATGTTGTAAATTTAAGGATTAAAGATGTTTTTGTTTTTTATATTTCTTTTGTCAATTTTGACTTTTAATTCTTATATTTAAAATTTGATTAATTAGTTCTCTAAATTATAAAAATATGTGATTAATAATTTCTTAATTTAAATTTAACATTTAGTAATTTTAGCTTTTAAAGGTTGATAAAATAATTTAATATAGTATTTAGTTTTTTTTTATATGTTTACATTTAATATTTAATAACATCCTTTTATTATTATAAAATTAATAAACAGATTAAATTAATATATTTTTAAAAATTTGAAGATTAATTAATTAATTTTTAAATATAAGAACTAAAATTAAGTTTAAAAAATGTAGAGATAAAAAATATATTTAACTTACATATTTAGTAATTAAATTAGAATTGTGTAATAGTGTAGAAGTATGGATGTGTGTTTATAATTGTAAAAATTGAATATACCATACCAATTCAATTAATTTTTTGTTGTAGCAAAATTGCTATGCCCCTACAAATAAAAATTATGGATCTCCTACAAGCGAAAGCAAAAGTTCTTAATATCATTCACCATTTTTCATGTTTCTAAACCCACCACCCCATCCTAACATGTTCTTTTAATACGTCTCCAACACATAAGATAATCAAACAAATTATGCTAGTTTAAATAACTTTATTTAATAAACTCATACATTCAAATCCATTGACATTTTTCTTCATCTTTGGCTGGTATGTATCAAACCAATTAAAAGTTATAAATAAAAGCAAGAGTAACATATATAATATATCACAAATGAGATATTTTGAAGTAAGATATCATATTAGGAAATCATAAGACAATCTTCCGATGTAGAAAAGTCTTCTCCATAAATTTAGTTAGAGAATTAATACTTTATTAGTTATATATGAGCATTATAGCATGCAATAAGAAGGAACATATAAATCTGCATATACCTTGATATATGAAAAAGATTAACGTGGGCAGGGTGTGTTGCCGGGCAAATCTTCTTTGGCGGTGAACATAGGTTTCCTGCTTCATGACCTGAATGACAAGCAGATGAATTATCATCTGCCAAAGAAGTCATTGCCCAGTAAAGCACCTGCACATGGCCTTTCTTCATAACCTCTATTTGCTATCCATGTGTATATATAATACTAAGACATGCCCTGCACAAGACAAAGGATATTCCCAGCACATCCTCTTCTCTAGTTACAGCAAAATACTGGTCCATCACGTGCCTTTTGTCTCAGCTATTGCACTTTCACTGATACTGGTACCACAGATATTTATTTTCATATTCCATGCATTTAATTGTAATGAACATGCACGCTAAGAGAACAAGTAATGAAATGTTAGTATATGACAAAGAAAATGTCATCCATATGCAAGGCATAATCTTCTTGGTTCCTTTTCTAGTGTCTTCTGATTAGTTAAGAATATGCTGATAGTGAATACCTATTCCAGAACTACTTCCATCGACAATACAATGGTTGAAAATCACCACCATGCACCACTCCCTTCTTTTTTTACAATGCATTACCATATTCTGATATACAACCATACGTTTTGCTTTCAAAAACCATCATGATCTTTCTATTCATGTGAAATTTTGTGACACAATTTTTTATTCCTCTCACTTAAGCGAGACTGATTTATGATATCATATAGCCTGTGTAGTATCGAGTAACCAGTACTGTTAAAATTTTTAAATTCCATTTCGAAATACTTTATCAATAAAATTATGCAAATTATACAAATTTTGAAATAGGTTGTTGCATTAAATTATGCTCTGAAATATAGATTTATTATCCTAATCAAAGTAATTCTTTGTATTTTGAAATCCCGGTAATGAAGAAGATTTGTTTTACTCAATTATCTATCTATTCTTTCCTCTTTTAGTATGCTCAGTCATGGAAAGAAAGAGATATTTTCAACTGAATTATTATGAGAACGAAGATATTAATTTTGTCCTCTTTTTGCTACCGGTTTATTATTATGTACATACAAAAATACCTGTTGTTAATTAAGAATTTTTGTCTTTTCTTCTTAATACGAATATGATGGGTCATGAATATTATTTTATTATCTTCTATTTAAATTAGATATACTCATACATCAAATTCATAAAATTATGATAAAAAACAATAAAAAAATTTCAGATGAGAAGAAAGCTAGCACAAATGTCAAACAACCTATGGAACTATATAGAACTTATGGAAGTAAATTTCATTTATCTTTTTTCAATAATTTCTTGAAATTAAAATAATTTCTTTTCCATCAGGTTCAACTAGCAATTCATTCTTGAACTCCATAACGGACACATTTTCTGCTTAATGTTGGATTGGTTCTATTCCTTCCAAAATTCAATAAACTTCAAAGAAAAAAAAAAGTTTTTCTCCAATTAAGAGATCAGTTTAAAGATGGAGTTTGCAATTACATAATTTCAAGCCGTCATCGCCATCATCACCATCAAATATCTTTCTCGGGTTAGATGTTTCAGACCGTGCCCATGATTATAGTGGAATATCAAGAAATGACTAATTTAGCAGAGCATGAACAGTGGTCTTGACTTTAACATGGTTAACGATTAGTTATATTTGTGATGCTTTGTAATAGCCACAATAATTTCACGAAGATTTATCCCATCCAACAGTTTGAAATCCAAAGTTGGTGACAACTAGACTGTTTACACCTTAAATTCTATTCACCTAATTTTATTTTATTTTTTGGATTGATTAACACGCATCTGAAAAGGGGGTCTACTTCTGCAGGGCTGAAAGTTCATTTCATGTATGTATATAACAGAAAGTTTTTAAGACCAATTCCTACATAGAAAAAGCATCTGATTGATTACTAAATTATGATATAGACGAATCCTTGTTTTTGAAAGGGACTGATGGTGAAATATTTGGGACCATTAAATAACAGGAACCTTACAATGGAATTGTACCGGCATATGCTGCCTGCTCCTAATGCTTACCAATGGCATATCCAACTTATGTACGCTCATACCTACCTATAAATAGCCTTCCATTTTATGATGATGACTCACACACAAATTTGGTGCTGGAAATGAGATATATAGATGTGCTGTTGAGGAATGAGAGGGCAAAACTCCTTTTTGGCAAGAGAAGTAGAGGGATTGAAAATGCATGCTTCTGGTTTGCCAAAGGAGATTTGCCCTGCCATTTTTTTGACAGTTTCTGACTGACGCATTGTATTAGCTATTTTCTATCTTCTGCTGATTAGACATGCGTTGGATTCTTGCAGTAGTAATTACGGTATGACTGTATGTAATCAATTTCTTTCTTGTTTACTAACTGTTTAAGATGTAGCAGATAGATATGAATGAGTTTCAATTTTATGTGGTCGACATGAAGATCAAAATGAAAGAAAGATAGCTAACAATCAGAGATTACTAAGATAATGGATCTGCATTTTAAGATCATGAAGCCATATAAGAAGATGGGCATATGCACTATCCTGAGACGAAGGTTGAAGAGAAGCTTCAGTTAGAAACTTCCTTTTTCTGCTCTGCTAATGTACCTTCTATTAAAGACCATGCTGTCCTACTTTTTCTAATCAGTAAACTCTCGAGAAAACTTCAAATGTCAAAAATTTCAAAATCTAAAGGCTATTTCTATTCCAGTTTAAATAAATTTCATGCGTTATTTCACATTCAAATGTTTGCATTTACTAGATAATTAAAAAAAGAAAAAAGAAAAACATAAAGGTTCCTACACTAAAAATCAAATGTATCTTGAAAGAATAAACAGACTAATGTCAAATATGACTTCACGAGAGATTATATCTAAAGGTATCATTGTGATAACCATTGTTAATAATGCAGAAATCAGCCAGACATGATGCCCAAGCAGCATCGAAGAGCCTATTTGTTTTAGATTTGTGGTAGAATTGATTTTACACCGTTGAAGGTGATTGAATGTGTGCCTAAATTAAACATTCGCCCCGGTGTGTAAAATTCATTTTGCTTGTAACCAAACAAGCACTTTTCAAGAATTTATTGGACTTACCTTGTATTTGATGCACGTCAACTTGTTTTAGTACGAGTAAATTATATAGACATATCTTGAAAATTTTTCAAATTACACTAATATTCTCGATTTTAAGGAGTACCAGTGTAATATACTCTTTTAATTCCTTCTATTCTTTTTTTTTTCTTCATTTATCCCATTATTAATGGTGCCTGAGTTCAGATTCTCGTCTCTAGGAGAAGCTTTGCTTACAAACTATAAATTTTCCGCTTGTTTGAGCTTGAGAACATGCCTTGGATAGTTTTTTCAATGATTATTTTACTTATGATAAAGATATATTGTAAGCCCAGATTCTTTCATAATTAGTTAAGCGGTACTTTCCCCGCCAAATCCCAATATCTTAACACTACTAGAAAACTAGTTTTTTTTTGCCAATTTTCTTGCAAAAAATTGTTTAAATTTATAAAAAACTTATTTCTTGCAATTTTTACAAAAATTTTGCAAAAATATTCCCATGAAAAATGAGAATTTTTAGTAGTGAACTATAAACTTTTGACAATCTAATAAGGAATTCTGATTGGCCTTTTGGAACTTGTAATTAGGCCCAAATTTTGCATATATCTTACATTTGCTTTTATTCAATTATGAGTTGATGACAGAACAAAAATCTTGAGAAAAAGACTTTCATCATCTGGTATCAGGCGTTGTTGCATATCTGGAACTTATTACTTGCTATAATATAATGAACATCCTCACAAGAAAATCTTAAAAGAGAAGCATCAGTACATTGAGAAAAACTTGATAAAGATTATAAGCAGAGAATATTATCTCGGTGGTATAAGATAAAGGAAATGAATATTGTTGCATATGTTAAAAGAGAGGTAAGTCATACTACAGGTGCATTTATACCTTGTCTTCTTCGTAATATTAGTGTGGTCACTGGCTACCAGTGCAAATCGTCGCAAGTATTACATTCATGGTTTATCATACACATGCATGAGTGTATTTGATACAATCTGAATAAATGACTATAACTCAGAATTTTCATCATAAACATGCATGTAGGTGCTGTCATGCATATAGATGAAACAATCTTCATATAACTATAACTTCAGACCAGGAAATGTGTATTAGTGTAATGCATTATTACTATTTAATCGTGCCCTTCCGTATGCAGCCCCTCACACTTTAAAAGGTCACTACTAGCAGAATAAAACTTTAAAAACTGGCCAAGAGCAGAAAGGGTGGTATCATATATATATATATATATATATATATATATATATATATATATATATATATATATATATATATATATATATATATATATATATATATATATATATATATAGGTATTTAACTTTTTCATTACTTTAGAATAACAATCGAGAAAGGAGAAAGAAAAAAGAGAATAAGCTTGGTTTAGGAGGAAGATCTAGAGGTTTGTGCTCTCCCTCACTCCACCGTGTGCCGGTGTTGCCAATTCCTTTTCTTGACAGGTAAAAAAGTGAATTTAAATTATTAATAAAAATGCCAAATTAGCTCGATTTCCATGAAATCATTATCCAAAACTTTTTGTTGTAAAGATTACAGTTGACTAGATTTAACTTAGTATGTGCTCTTCCCATTTCATTGTAACCAAAAAACAATATTGGTTGATATTCGAAATTTTACCATATATTACTGGCATGTATGGCAGTTCTTAGTATTGAAAAATTTAAATTAGTCGTTTAGTATTTTTAGAATAATATTAATAATTTTAATTACGAATAATATAACCAATGAGTTGTAAACTTATTTAATAGGTATTATGATTTACGTTTGACATTTGAAGAGACAAATATTTTGGCCATAAATAATTGTAACAACTCATTTGAAATTGTATCAGGAGAAAAATTGAGAGTCTTTTTTTATTTTCCTCTTACCAACAAATTGGCATCATAGCTTGTGTGTAAGGTGAGCGTGAGAGAACCTACCAAACCTCAAGAGAGAACGCTGCGGTGTGAGAGGAGCAACTTAAAGCTTTATGAGGTATGTGAGTTGAGTGCAAATACTTTAGAGGAAATGACAGGTCTAACCAATGGCATTCGCTACCCAAGTTGACGAAAGACACCAACTATGACAACTGGAAGGTACAAATGAAGGCTCTTCTCGGCTCCCAAGATAACTAGGATGTGGTCGAGAATGGGTATGAGGAACCGGCAAACACAGATGGGTATTCAAATGCCCAGTTGAACGCATTGAAGTCCATTCGAGTTAAAGACAAGACATCTCTGTATCTACTATACCGAGCTGTCGACGAACCTGGCTTTGAGAAGATAGCTAACGCAAAATCTTCCAAAGTAGCATGTGATACACTTGAAAAGCAAACAAAGGAGATGAAAGGGTGAAACAAGTTCGACTTCAAACTCTTAGAGACGAGCTTGAAAACATGAGGATGAACGAGCCTGAAAGCGTATCCGAGTTCATTACTCGGGTGGAGACCATGGTGAACAAGCTGAATCAGAATGGTGAGAGTCTTTCATCAAACCGAGTTGTTGAAAAAATTTTGATATCATTGACAGATGATTTCGAGAACATCATGTGCGCAATAGAGGAGTCCAAGGATCTATCAACGCTCACCCTTGAAGAGCTTGTTGGGTCCCTAGAAGCGCATGAGTAGAGAAGGAAAAACAAGAAGGGGGAGTCCCTTGAACAGGCTCTCCAAGCAAAGACAACAATAAAAGAGGAGAAGATGTTCTATGCTCAGAGTACCAGAGGCCGAGGAAAAGGCAGAGGTCGTGGTGGTAGAGGAAAAGGAAGACGAGAAAATGAGCAAGACGGTCAACAGAACTGGCGTGGCCAAGGACAGGCTCAAGGTGGTCGGACAAACACAAACAATATTGAATGCTATAATTGTGGGAAGAATGGACATATTGTCAAGGATTGTTACTTGGTAAAATGCTATAATTGTGGAAAGAATAGACATGTTGCCAAGGACTTTTACTTCGTAAAATGCTATAATTGTGGAAAATTGGGTCATATTTCCAAAGATTGTAAGTCTGAGAAAAAAAAGGAGAAACTAACAAACTTTCTTGCTGAGGAAGAAGATGAAGGATTGCTGATGGTGACAAACACTTTAGAAACTGAGATCAAACCGAACTGTTCTAATAACTCGGTTTGGTACTTAGACACCGGCGCTAGTAACCACATGTGTGGTGATGAACGCTTATTCAAAATACTTTCAAAGGTGGAGTCTGAATCTGTTTCTTTCGGTGATGCTTCGAAAGTAGCTGTCAAAGGTCAAGGAACGATATGGTATCAACAGAGAAATGGGCAAATCGGAGAGATCAGAGATGTATACTACGTACCTGATCTCAAAAGTAACATATTGAGCATGGGACAGTTAATGGAGAAGGGGTACTCGGTTCTAATGAATGACCGAGAACTACAACTGAAGGATAAATTAGGGAGACTTGTTGCTTTGGTGGGAATAAAGAAAAATCGCATGTACAAACTTGAGCTGAAAATAGTTCAAGATAAATGTATGCAATTTGATATGGAGGATGAGGCCATGAAGTGGCATTTGCAGTTTGGTCATCTTCACTTTGGTGGGTTGACTGCGCTGGTGAAAAAGGAGATGGTGCTCGGATTGCCTAAAATGGAATTCCAAAAAAGGTTCTGTGAAGAATGTGTGATTCGGAAGCAAGCGAGGACTTCTTTCCTAAGAAGTTCTGAGTGTCGAGCAAAGCAACAACTCAAAGTAATCCATACTGATTTGTGTGGGTCAATAACTCTAGAATCTTTCAGTGGTAAGAGATACTTTGTCTCTTTCATTGATGATTTTTCAAGGAAAACATGGATTTATTTTCTGAAGGAGAAGTCAGAAGTGTTTGAAACTTTCAAGAAATTCAAATTTATGGTGGAGAAAGAAACAAGCAAAGTCATCAAAGCAATCTGATCTGACAGAAGAGACGAGTTCACTTATACTGAGTTCAACAAATACTGTGAGGAACATGGGATCCACTACAAGAAATATTAAAATTACCGACGGTCAAAATCCGTCGGTAATAACAAAAATCCGTCGGTAAATGAATATTACCGACGGAATTCCAACGGTCAAAATCCGTCGGTAAATATGTTACGAAATTACCGACGGATTCGGATCCGTCGGTAATAATTTTATTAATTATTAAATATTTTACTTATTTATAACATTATTTTTTTTATAGAACCCCTCCCCCTTATATTCTTATTCTTTATTATTAATTATTT